GAGTATTCTGGGAAGCTCACTGTGGATGTCCAGTACCTACTACCCTCAGACAGATGGTCAAACAGAGGCGATGAATAGGGTGGCAGAAATGGTGTTGCGTATTCTGCATGCCGGGCAAGAGGGATCAAGTTAGGAGCGATTGTTATCCGCCGTTGAGTTCGTGATCAATAATAGTTTAGCACAAGCAACCGGGTATATGCCATTCTATTTGAATTACTTGTACCATCTATGTACACCAGCAGATCTTATCTGCCACAGTGACTCCACTCTGATTGAGGGAGCTAAATAGCTTGTTGAGCAGATGAAGAAGAATTTCTCGATGGCCATCAAGTTCTTGAACAGGGCTCAAGATTGTATGAAGATGCAGGCCGACTAGAAGAGAAGGGAACAAAGGTTCAGTAGTGGAGATTAGGTGTTGCTCTCAATAGAGCATCTGAACTTAAAAAATACACCGATCCGCAAGCTAAAGGAAAGGTTTGTTGGGCCATTCTTTGTTGTCCATCCGGTGAGACAAGTGGCCAACGAGTTTGAACTCCCCAAAACATTGAAGATTCACAATGTTTTTTACGTTAGCTTGTTGTGTCCTTACAGAGCCAATTTATAGACATAGCCCACTATATTTGGTCAGGTGGAAGAGTTAGAGCCTGAGGATAATAAGCCATATGACATTGAGAAATTGCTACATTGGCGGTGGGCCGGCCCTAGTACCAAGATGCATAAGGAGTATTTGGTTATGTGGAAGGACTATTCAATTGACAACGCCTCTTGGTCTCTAGAGGGCAACTTTACCTACCTAGAGGAGTTGAAGAAAATGATCAAGAGAGATAAACTAATAGAGGATTAGGTCCGCTGATTAGCCCAAGGTTCCGAGGGAGAAACTACCCCCAAGGGGGAGTACTATGGTGTAAAGCACAAGGGGTAGTATGTTTCTTTGGTAGTTAGGTTCTTGAAAGGTTAAAGTGCAGTGATATTTATGATAGTACAATCTCATATGATAGTAGCTTTTACTAGAAGCCTATGTATTCTTAAACTGCCTTTATTGAGCTAGCTGTAGAGGAGATATTGATAAATATATTTTTAGTACTCTAGACCCCCTCTGCCATACCGTATCGAGGGATAAGATACTATTGTTGGGCCACCCCCTCAAAGAGGTTACCACTTGTTAAATGGTAATTCTATTCTCATACCCACTCGCGCACCCCGCGGTTGCACTTGTGAGCCGCACGGTGCCGCACACCCACAGTGTGCACGGCCACCCCGCGCCCGGCCACCGAACTGGGCCCACATTGCGTACCCGAAAAAGTGAGCGCCCCAGCAAAACCCGCCAGATATCCAGCAAAGGAGGCCCATCCAGGCCCATTCAGGCGCCTTGGCGGGTGCATCGCCCACAACAAACCAAAAAACACACCAGCTGAGGAGGAACAGTTGTGGCCCATGACTGCAAGGGGTCGGAAGAAGTAGTTGTTGGTGCCTCCAAGGAGTTACCATGGGGTTGGTTTCAACTCCTTGGGATGGGTACAACTGGTGTTGTGGCTGGCAACTTTGGGAGGGAAATCGCATTCAGTGCGCCGAATCCTTACGGGTCCAGCCTACAGGTGGCAACTGTGCCAAGGGGTGACTAATTATGAAAACCCATGTTTGTGTCAGAGGCGCTACTCTTCTTACCTTGGGTATTCTTTCTTTCATTGTTGTCTTCCTCTTAGGTCTGCGTTTGAGGACAGCCGCTCTTATATGGGGGGAAGTGATATTGTGACTAGTGGATATTTGGTCAAATAAAAGGAATTATAATCACATTATGTTGTTGTTAGAAAGCAACCTTAGAGGGGTTTTTTGGGATTGTTTAGGGTCGTTTGTATTTAGTTACTGTGGAGTTTTGGGCCCACCAGTTAATGATTAAACATTATAGCTATTTGGACAATCTATTGGATGTTATTTTATACCAGTTGCGCCATTGTACCTTGTCTCCTGCGTGTAACCGTTTCCGTGGGAACCCGGCTCCGTGCCTCCACGCCAACGACCAAGGGCGTGCCCAACCCGGGCACAACAGCAAGCCCGCGAGCTCGTCTGGCGTTGGTCCATAGGGTGATCCCCGTCCATCTAAAGGGAGAGCATCGTACACTGGTCCGATAATTCTGTAACCGCAGTGATTAAGCGCTGAATGGGCCGCGCCGTGAGCATGTACTGGCGCTCAGGGCCGCTGCCGGCGTCGTCTCTGCGGGCTCTCCCGGCCCGCTGCCTCCGGCCACCGGGCAGCCATCTGTCCGATCACCGACGGCCAGACCGCCCCAAGCCGCGGGTGCCTTATCCCTCGAGCACGAGGGATCCTCCGGACGTTGGCGGCATGCGATTGATGGGGAACCCCCGCCTGCCGCCAATTGCTTCTAATAAGGGGCCATGCGTCGATAGTGCGGCTGTCGAGCAGACCCAGTGAGACTCCCGTCTCCATTGCGGATAGCCACCATAGGTACATGATTGCGGGACAGGGGCTGGGGTCCAGGACGTCGGCAGCGCCCAGGTGGTGGCCGCGGAGAACAGCTTGAGAGGCGACGGCCTACGACGGGGCAGGGCCTCGCGACCGGCAGCGGAGCTGAAATCCTAATCCCTGCAGGGTCGCCACGGGCGAGGGTGGCGAGGATCGCCTGCGGGGGGTGGTCGCGTGTTGGCGCCCAGTTCCGGCGATTCGGAGGTGGTGACGAGGTGCACGGGCCGCCACGGTGAAGTGGTTGCGACGGTGCGAGAGGGAGCTAACGAGAGGAGGAGGCCCTGCAACACCGAGCCGGCACGGTCCAGCGGCGCCTCACGCGGTGGTCTTGCCGATGGATCCACCGCAGGGGACACCCGCGCCGACGCTCTTCAGCGAGCTCTGGTTCAAGGACCCTGCCCAAGAGGAGCTGTTCGCGCAGGCACGCGCGGCGACTGAATTCGAGCCAGTGGATAGTCTGCGCCGCGTGCTGTCTTCCATCCTCGTGTTTATGTTCATGTTCGGGAGGTTGGTGGCTGATTTTCGGGCGGGGGGCTTCTCCATCCGCAGTGCACTGGCCGTGGCTGTGACCGCGTGCGCGTTGCTGCTGCACTGGTTGTGGCGTGCGCTGGACGTGGGCTCACAGCCGCGCCTGCGAACGTGGATGGTGGTCATAACTCGGCTCGTCGGCTTTGATCTCCCCATGATCTTATGGTCGTCGACTTGGTTCGCGGACCCTGTAGTCTCGACACTGTCGTTGGTAGGCTTCTTGTTGGTTAACACAGGCACGTTGGGTCTGCTGTTGCACGCTGCTATGTTCCCCCTTCTCGCCCGGCATTTCCTGATGGTGCATGTGCCGGTGGCGCTGCTCATGGCAGTTGTCACACCGGGGTGGGCATGTACGGAGACCACCATCACTACAGAAAGCGCCTCGTATTTCCAGGCCCCGTGGGTATGGATGGACACGTGGTTCACGGAAGGAACCTCGGCGGCTCCCCCGCCTGAGCAATGCTGTCGTGACGTGGTGGTTATTACCCTCATCTTCCTTGGGTTGTACATACCTTCGTATGTGGTTTGGGCTTTGGAGTATTCGGCGAGAGCCAGATTTCACCCGCAATTGCGTCCGCTGAAACCAAATGCAATGGCAGTGCATTTGATCTTTTCCAGCACGCCACTGTGTGTACTGTGGGTAACAATGAACGGCGTGAGGACGGGGTTGCAGTAGATGGAATTAACTATTGGCCATTTCAAGCGCCACCCTGTGTTTTTGGCCACATAGGGCTGGAATTTGGAAGGCTTCTGGAGCAGGATTGGGTTTGGCTATTTAGACACCCCTATTGGTCCCCAGTGGGGATTCCCACACTATCCTGTTTCACACCTGCCCAACCGGTCCTGGGAGAGTAAGTTGGGTTAGATGTGGTTAGATGCCATGGGGCTGGCTCAGGGTTGAGTCATGCATCAATAGGTGCAAAGTACTTGGGCAGAGAAACGGCACTCCTTGTCATGTGAGTCTTGTCAAAGGGAAAACACGAGTGCTGGTCTCCAGAGCTCTGGACGGCTGAAATGCATGCCAGTGCATGCTTAGAAAGACAAACAGGAATGGACTAGCACGATGGGTAGATGATGGGACTCGGAGAATGTGGCGCAAAATGGGTATGTTGATGTTACGAACCAAATAATGGAGACATTTTGAATAATCGTTCTGAACAAGTGATGGAGAAATGGAGGGTCCTCTCATGTGGATGCACTTCAATTTGGGAAACTGGTTAAACTCATCGGTACAGGCGGCGATTTTGGCCTCTTCTCCACTTAAATCATTTTGTGACAACTACGTAACATCTTACTATTTGTTATTGTTCGAGCGAGCCACCTCAGTTGAGTGCTCTGCTTTCCTGCATAACACAGTACAACATTTGCAAGTACACGAATAAATGGCAATCAAAAGCACACCACCATGCAGGGGCCATCCAACAAGTGAGCAAAACACATGAAACTCTGTGCTACCTCAGAAGCATGTCAATTGCACATTTGTCCGAGCAATGTTCCCCGAAATCAATGCCCAACAAGCCATCAAACAAGTGCACCACTATTTCAGACCTTTCTATGTTGCACCTCCAATCGCCACATTAGTTTGGCTGCATCGACAGCCCCAAAAGAGGGTGCACAGTGTTGCAAACAAAAAGCTAGCATCACTGCGTCCCCAGGCCGACAAGTCGATGTCAGGGAAAACACCATGGTGTCATAATTTGCGAGCGCAAACAGCCAGGGTTCTTCTCACCAATTGTAACCTGCTGCGCAATTCTTCAAACATCATCATGCAGCCCAAATCCAGGACCTGTACCACCCTAAAATCAGTATTTTCCATAGAATGTTGCGGTGCCAAGTTTCCTTGTAGATGCACAGGCTGTACAATGCTAATGGCTAATTTCGCCTTGTACATCTAAATCAGGACACCTTCCCACATGCCTACACCTGACGCACTGTGCACTCTCAAGCACTCCAAATTCTACACTCCAACCTTGAAGTGCTGAATGCACAATCAGGACCATGCAGCGTGAAGCTCTCGCAATGTGGCCATGCAGCCGTCCTCAGCATGTGGCGTTGGGTATGGCTTTATATGGGCATGCAAATTCTTGAGTGTGACCTCATAGCGCCGTGCAAGCAACGCCAGCATGACCCACAGCTCTGTCAATGCCAGCTCCTTGCCCAGGCATATGTGGCGTCCATGCCCAAACGGCCGGAATGAGCTCAACTTGTCTGTTCGTGGGTCCAAGAACCGCTCGGGCCGGTATGCATCATGGTCATTCCAGCTGTCGCTGCCACATAAGTGTTGTGTGATGAAGCCGGAACCGCAAACGACCTGTTTGACAATCGCTGGAATGAGATCTGATTTTTTTTAGTTGGCATTAAAAAGCAAGGCTTGTCAAACAGGTCAACGCATACGTACATACAAGAAACAAGGGGCACACAAATCAACCCAGTGTTATTAACTTGTTCTTAATGTTTGAATTAGCTAACGGTGATGCCTCTGGGGCGAACAATGAGTGATGCGTTTTCGGGCAGTGTCCTAATGAACCCGTGCTCACTGGGTAGGCACCGTCCAACCGAGAAGTGCAAAAATCTTCCCATTCAGTAGCAGCAATGTTTGAAATTTTAAGTAATCAACTGCCGCGTTGGTCGTATCTCAACATTTTGTTCATCAACTGTTGATTAATCAAACATTAAAAACGATAATCCAAATTGACTTTAAGCTGTATATTTGCTATCACAGGATTCACCTGCCAGTTGGCTGGAATTCTGTAGCCTTCGAGTTCGAAACTCTCCTTGGCCCATTTGTAAGAGAATGGCAACGCGGTTTGCACCCTGAGCCCTTCCTTCACGACTGCCCGAGCATAAACCATGGCTTCCAATGACTCACAGGTGATGTCGTCACCATAAATTTCCACAACTCGGTGCTGTTCCTCACGCAGTCTGTCCCAAGCCTGAACACAGTGGCAGTCAAGTGCGCATGAAGCAAAGGGGCGCAAATGTGTGGTAGCCTTGACCGCAACATAACATGAACACAATCCTACATGCTGTTTGCATATCGCTACACGTATGTGTGCCATATCTACACAATACATGCATGTCATATCTGCAGATGTAGAGGCCAAACCCAGCATCACCCGCAAAAGGACTGGCAGATTAGTTCCCGTGGTATTGAAAAATCTGTTGAAATTGTCCAACCATTCGCATGGGCAAAGAGAACGCTGAGTGGGTACTTCGTTATGTTGCCAATTCATGTAAATTAGTCAGTTGCGCCATACAAAAATCATTTGAGGGATGCATCCCGGCAAGTGCTGCATGGGTGGCTGCACTGCTCTCCATTTCCTTTTCAAGGTGTGTGACACTGGAAGAGAATTTCATTGTCAATACGCGCTCGTGAGAAATTCATATTGGGTGTACGCATCATGGGTGAAAGAAGAATGCTCAGGGAGAACCTTTTTGACCAATGCATGACTATGCTACGTATGCAGGCATACGCATGCTCATACGCAACTTTGTGCATCGTGACCTTTGGCTGCCCATCCCCCGCAGGGGGGGGGGGGGGAGATCATATGTGTCAACATGATGGCAACAATGCACCATCGCGATCTTGGCCCAGGAAAACGGCACAGATATCCCAGCGGCAATAATGCAAAACATTTGCTGTTTCAATACTATTTTCTGCAAGCATCCATGTGTCGCCAGACGAATAATTGCGGACAGCGAGCTTTGCTTGTGGACACGTCCCAGTGCATCAATATATTGAAATGCGCTCTGTTACTCAGTCAACCTCAGCAACCATCGTTTGGCAAGCAATAAAAGGAAGAACTGTCACATTCTGGCTGATGTAAATAAAACAGGCGTCCAACAAGATGCCATGTCAGTGTGTGTGCTCGGCAACACTCAGAGCCAGCATGGCCATGCGTCAACCAGAGTCAACAACGAACCGGTGTTCAGAAAGTGTGTTGGATTGTGTACTTGCCCGTTACTATCTACACCACAGTCTAATTCCAGTTTGACACCAAACGCATTCAGAGAGACATAAGGAATTATACACAGGCATGCTGAAATTAGCTGACTGTGTTTGACAGAAATAAAAATGCACTCATGAGTGTCGCAGTGCAAGCTCGTCCGCTTGCCTTGGGATTCAGCGCCAGCTTGCGCAGAATGCACTCCATTGTTGCACTGGTAGTTTCATACCCTGAAACAACAAACACCATGAAACAAATACCCAAGGGTGCATTACTGCAAAACAGCGGTGCCACAATAATGTACATTGTGAATACATAACACTTCAATGAGATTCAAGAAGTACATGTTAACACAAGGAGTGCCACACACATGCACTCCACACATATGGCCCTGTGCATTCCGCACACACATGGGCCTGTGGCTAACCACTGTGTCCCTTGTGGCTTACTTGATTTCCCCATGCATGCACATATGTAATGCAATGTCCTTGGGTCCGTCCAAGGTGAGATGCCACGAATCCCAAGAATGACAACTGTTTCAACAATTTTCCAAGTGTCCACAACATGCCCTGGTCACTGCCATGTCCCATGCCTTTGTGCCATGGCGCAAACAACCTGCCAACAGAGCATATCTGACGTGGCTGCAGCCTCCAACACGACAAAAATTCGTGCACAGGTCTCCATCTTGTTGCACTTGCAAATCTTCCAGCGTTCTTCGTCTGCCCTGCCTCCCCCCCCCCAAAACCCCCAACCCCCATCCCCCACCCCCCCTTAACACAAAAGAAACTCCCTTTCTCTACTGAGCTCAAAATAGTGTCTTTCCTAAATCAACAACAATTCCCATAGCACAATGATAGTGTAATGCGCAAGAACATGCCACTCTGGCAGTTAGCTTGTAACACTGTCGTCTCTTACCCCCATAAACGAGCAGGATGATGGTGTTGATGAGTGCCTCCATTTCGAGTCCATTGCCGCCTTCGTCTCTCGCATCCAGCATCTGTTCCAGAGCTGTGGCAGGTCGGCCATCTTCAGGGGAAATCGAATCCATTGCTTTGAGGGACTCTTTGATGACATCAATCATTTCACAACGGCTCTTCATGGCTCTATGAAATTTTGTGAGCGGCAGGTCGATTCCCAAAGTGAAAACACCCTCGCCAAGCACCTCCAGGATTTGGATAACTTCGTTGTCCACCCTTGATGGGAATTCCATACCAAGAAAAGATTTTGTGCTCACCTTAAAGGCATACTTCCTTGCCTGCAGAACAGCAAAAGTGCTGTGTGCTTAGCACTGCAGTTATTATCTCTCCATTCATACCACTTACCTTACCATGAACCAGAAAACTCACTTGCCGATTCTGTTATTTATTTACCTGATTGGTTATTAGATTAGCAACGACAATCATGGCGACTGCCAGTTCAGGTAACTGCAAAACAAGAAAATGCTACAGCAAAAAGTAGAGGCAAACAAGAAGGCACAAGATCTCAATCATTCCACTCTGCCCTTGTTCACTTGTGTGTGAAGTCACGAACATGTGCACTCTGTATCCAACATCAACAATCATTATGTTTGATCGCTTTCACCCAATTCATCTTGGTACCTTCATCCCAACCACACACCATCTACCCAGGGAAGAAAATTTACCAGCTCGGCCATGGAAAAATGCTCCTGGCCTTCAAATTCGGCACAAATTTCTTTGGCAGTGTTGAAGATGAATGGCACAGATGATAACACACTCCCTCTTGAGAAGACTGAGTGCAGAAGCTTCCTCATGTTGGCATGTTCATCACCTGCTCTCCACACCATCACAGAGAAGATACTTGTGCTCAGGTGTTCAGCAATTCATGCTAGAGCTCTATCTGCAAGGTCAAAAGTCCAACGACACTGTATTGCAACACAGTAGCAATGCACAGTCAGCAGGGTCATCCTAAAAACACATCGAAAGCTTCTGGCACTTGCAGTGTGAACCCCAGCCAATTTGAACCAACATGTTTTCCTTGCAATACACTCCAAAAGTTGTTTACAAACGAAACAGCAGCTTAAGTATTAGTGCTGGTGGCACTCACAGCCATTGGTACTGATTTATAAAGTATGTACTTGATTTCTCACAGTGCACTGTTATCTTAATGCAAGTTGTATCAAGAAATCATGAACACATGTGCCAGTGCTCTGGAAACTTCATACCATTAAGGACCGCCAAGTTCCCCTCGCCAAAAACCTTCAGACCTGGCATCATCGGCCATGTGACGATGGATCCAGCTGCTTCAAGTCGAGAGATCTGCAGAGCACACCATTCTCCATAAAATTGTTATCAATTCATTGTCCATGTTATTAGTGTCAGAGTAAAGCACCCCAGTCATTTGACTATTACCATTAGGCAACATGCCTGTTTCACATCAATTGTGTCCATGCCAGGTGCAAATGCAATATTGAAGTACAATGTACAGCCATTTCAACTCAGAAGCTGGCAAACAATTAAAGCGCATTTTCTAGAACATTGCTCTAGAACCTCCACGAGCACCTGCAGGTGCATTAATTTGGCCCAAACCCCTAGATACACACTCCAGCTCTCCTGTAGCCCACTGGATCATCTCATTGTTTGTGCATACGCCTGCAATAGCCTGAACATGACAGAAAAGATTTTGAAACAAAGCTTGCTGAGGGGTAACGGCACTAGGGATGGTACCCAGGTACAGGATATCCAGGTACCTGCGCCGGGTACTGGTTTTTCTTGTACCCGCCTACCCGGGAAAGCGGGTACTGGTACGTACCCGGGTGTGGACGGGTACAGTCGGGTACCCGGATTATCCGGGTACTGCGCAATTGACCAACGGTCGCTCGATCCGTTGGTTCGCACCGCGTTGGTTTCCGCCAAGGTCGCCCCCGTCCACACTGTGTGTGGCTATGTTCGCCACAAAACAGCGAGAGTGGGAGGCCGAACGTTACGCGCTCCCACTCCCGCGTTAATGCCACTCGCAGCCACCGATTGGTGCCACCCGCGGGTGCCCTGATTGGCGTCCCCGAGTGGCATCAATCGGCGCCCACGAGGGGCGCATGCCAGGGTTGAACTGCAGCCTGCGCGGGGGCAAAAGCATGGGCGCAAAACACGCCACGAAACGGCAGGAGAGGGAGGCCGAACCTCGCCTCCCACTCCAGCCACTTTCGCTCCTCACGGCCGCCGAACGGTGCCACCCACGGGTGCCCTAATTGGCACCCGCGAGTCGCATCAATCGACGCCCCCAATAAGCCAAAGTGGGCACCACGCTTCGCCGTGCATAGATGGAGATCCGCTGCAGATCTCGTGCCTCCCACGGCCCCCCGGGGAGACCTGCTACCCCGCCGTTTCGCGGACGCACCGTCCGTCCGTCCACGAAATACCATGGTCGCGGAACCGGACGGGCGCCACAACCTCCGCCCGCAAACTTTGCACCGCTTGCGGCAGCGGCGGCGTGGACTCCGCTAGACAGAAGCCGGCCAAGCGTGCGGCAAACCGGTTTCCGTACCCGGGTATATACCCGGAACCGGGTAATGGCTGTACCCGGGTACCCGGTTATTCGTTACTGCCCGCGTATCGAGTGTACCCGGGTTACCCGGGTACACCGGGGTACCCAAGTTCTGCAAACTCCGGGTACTAGGTCCGGTTTTCTCAGCCCGGGTTTACCATCCCTAATCGGCACACACGATTGAATGCGATGTTACAATGCAGAAGCGCGTAATCTGACAATGATAATGCACAAATGAGGAACATCTAGACAGAGGCATTCTGATGTATGAGAGTGTTTGCACACAGGCAAAAGCACACAGTTGTTGTGTCGTACATCAGAATTGTGAAGATTGTCTCTTCAGTAAATTAGTACAATATAATACAATGGGTTCCGCTCCTAGCACCACACTCTGCGGCACTCTTCTCTCAAGATGATGCAAAACCCTCCGAACGCGAAAGCAATGTTGTCACACTGTTGACAGTTCCTAGAGACGCATTGTGACCTCAATTAGCTACCTCATTCAGCGCCTCTGTGCTGCAGACAACGACGGTCTTGAAGCCAAATATGTGGGACTTGAAGACATTTCCATGCTTGCTCATGCGCTCTAGGGCGAATGCATGCATGTCTTTGAGATACTCGACAGTCTCGCCCATTACTGGCCACCCATAGCTCCCTAAGGAAAACGCAGACATCTTTTGACAAAGTAGGGACATTTTGAGAATTGGTCTCGTAGTGGCCATCCACCTCCTGAAAACACGTGCTTGAGAGCCTTGTCTCTGCCGTAAATTTGGTCCAGCAGCTCCGCTAGGAGCTGGAAAACAAATTACAGTAGATGGTGAATATGGCAAGTTTCTTTTGAGTGACTTGTACAGAGAAACGTCCATGGGAATCGCTCTCCCAGCAAGGATATGAGATGTGAGGCCATGCAGAGAAAATAACTAGATGTCCAAACAAACGAGGAGCAGGAATGTGCAGGACAAGGAAAGTGCGATGAAAAAGGTGTTGCAAACCACCTGAACGGAATATTTCCCTAGAGCAGCGCTACCGTACACTGGGAAACCATGCCATGCAGTGGACTCCCATCCTGGGCAGGATGCCAGTCTGTAAGGCTGTTGCAGATGACAACAAGTCTCCAAGAACAACACAAACTGCAAACAACAGCGACTGAGTGCCACAACAAGGACTGGTGAGATTGACAAATTGGAGAGATGGGACTTCGAAAGAACAAGGAATTGGATAGCATCATGCCTGTGGGCAAAGCAGAACACTTCAGCTGTACACTTTGAAGCACCAACATACAGAATTTGCTCACATGAAATTGTGGATAATATATGAATTTGTGATGAAATTGTGGATATATATCCTCAACACCTGAGGGAACACTGAAGACGTTTCATGATGAAGGCTGCAGAGTGGCCACAAGGGCAATGGGTCAATACTCTTAACATAGTCAATCAAACATTCCGTCCTGAAAAGGAAGAGTTCGAAATCTCCAAATTCGGATTGGCATGCAGCAATGAAGGCGGCACCCACGATGTCACGCAGGGCGAATTCTACAATTGAAGATTCCCTGCAACCCTCAAGATGCTCATCCAAAGCAGTCAGCAATGCTGCTACAATTTCCAAGCGGGCAAAGTGGATGACAGTGCCGATTAACGAAATGGATCTCTCAATTCGCCCGACTGGCTGCTGCCAGTGGCTGCGGCCATTTTTGCTCCCGAGCGCATTGCCCACTGATCACATCCAATAAGGACGCCCACTTGCTGGGGACGAGGCTATCGACCCGCTGTGCCGCCAGGCTTGACTCTGATCCAAACCGAATCCCGCCACTAGAATATTGACATGCAGATCCAGAACAGATTTCAGGCAGCCTCGCCATCGAACGCGTAGGCAGCCACGTCGACGTCGCCAGCGCACAAGGGCAGCCCGACAGGAACGCCCGCGACACCGGGAGTGCACCCAGGCATTCCAAAAAGCGCGACCTCCTTCAAGGCTTCCACAAAGGACGCTCAATATAGGATTCCATAAGCACGCTTGATTGCCACCAAGCATTCCATAAAGCACGCCGCCAAGATGAACCGTTGTCTTGCAGTCGCGACTCGTGCGACGGGCCAGAACCATTTCAATTGTCCTCGATCCCTTGCGCTGCGAGTCGCGCACCGCCATTACCCCCGGGAAGAGACAGATCTTCCAGATCCGCGCCCCTCCAAGCCTCCGGCATCGGCCTGGCCACGGCGAGCGCGACTGCACCACGCCTGCCTTCCCTCCACCTCGCGGCAGATCGGCCCCCTGGCACGATGCCGTTTGCCACGAAGGCAACCCCGCGACCCGTCACTGGAGACCCGCCCCTTGACATCATGGACCCGAGCCGTCGAGCTCGTCCAGCCGAGTCGTCCAGCCGTAGAGCCGTCTGCAGGCGGACGAGTAGCAATCGGTTGCCTTCCGTTGTCTCTTGAGAGGGCACAGTATTCCGGCGCCCACCAACCGGTCCCGGCCGCCAGGCGCTGGAGACCCCCCGGGGCGGCAGCGACCTCGTGAAGTTAATCAACGGCCCCCGCTTGTGTCAGAAGCGGCCCAAGTGAGGGTGTGTTATCCCGTGCTGCCCCTTTATCCGCAGCTTGTGGCATGCGCTCTTTCTTACGCAACGGGGCGCACTTGAGGCGGCACCGCCGGAATGCATGTTGTATGTGTAACCGCAACTGTACCGCGCTTGCCAACAGCATCCTCATGCCGGGGAAGCCCCAATGGGATAATCGCCTTATCCGGACAAGGCAAAGTTCAACCACAAACGCTCGAGCTGTGGTGAAACGGATGGGTGCCATCTAACGGTTGGCGAGTCATGCATATCCTGACCGCAGATGACTCATGACTGCTGAGAACGGGGACCGTACTGGACCACCTACACAACAAAACTCGTAGGCCGTCGGTCTGCCGTCGGTCTTCCGTCGGCCTCCCTTCAATGAGGGTACTGGCTGCGCGAACAAGGCGGGCGAAGCTGATGGGCAGGCTCGTGGTCCGTACAAGGGGACCCGGAGGTCGCCTCGCCCGCCCCACCGTGCCGCCAGCACCAAAGGGAGGCCGCGCGGATAGTTGTGCAGACCAGGTTCGGGGCGCTCGCGTTCGAATCCGCGTGCCGAAGGGCCTGAAGGCGCTCAGCTTCACAACAGATGGCGAGGCCATTGATGGCAACTCTGCCGGGGAGTTTGTGGGGAACTCCGGGGCGCCGGTGGGGGTTTCCGATCCAGACGGGTCGGAGGACCGGGCTGCGGAACCAATGTGTTTGGTTGGCCGATCTGTGGGGCGAGGGAGCGAAATGGAGGACGCGATGTTGGCGGGTATGCGTGTGCCCGATGCAGCTGTTGCCAAAGCGAAGTCGACGCCGGAGGTCTTGCGCGTGTCCAGTCCCGGGTGGTGCGTGGACCACCCGAGAATCTTGGCCAAGATCTGGTGCGCCGTGCGCCAGGAGGCAGGGATGACTTGGGACCTCCTGAAGAGCGACTTGTGCGCGGCCACCTACCCTGGCTGGCTCTTCACCGCGATGGCGTCAAGGAAGGTGGGTGCCGTGGAGGCCCGGATCGTGGCGGGCAGCATGGTTTACTTTGTCCTGTACCTCTACCAGTTCTGCGTCGCCAACCAGCTGGGGGCGGGCGTGGAGGAGGACAGGCTCAACAAGGACTGGAGGCCCATCCCTTCTGGCCAGATGAGCGTCGTGGGGGGGTGGGTGCGGTACGCTGTCGGCCTGGTGGCCTTCGCGGCGGTGGGTCAGGCGCTGGGGGTGCTACCCTACGCGCTGCTGTGGGAAGTCGCCGGCCTCCTGCACAACTCCCTGCGCCTCTCCAGGCACTACGCCGCCAAGAGCGCATGCATGGTGGCCGGCATTGTCGGCCAGATGGGCGCGGGCTGGGGCATGGTGACCACGATTACGCCGGAGGTCTGGCGGTGGATTGCCGCCACGTCGGCGGCGTCCTTTGTGTGGGGCAACATCCAGGACCTCAGGGACCTGCAGGGCGACCAAGCGGTGGGTCGGTGCACGATGCCAGTTGCACATCGCCTGGACGCCTCCTGCCGCACTCTGGCGACCGTCCTCGCGGTCAGCGGACCGGCCTTGCTCCTCTGGATGGCAGCGCCCTTGAAGGCGAGCATAGCTTTGCGGGCGTGGCAGGCGCTCGGCACGGTGCTGTGCTGGCTTGTGGCAGCGCGCCTGCTGCTCTACCAGTCGCCGCGCGGCCTCCACAGGTCGTACAATTTGTACATCGACTTCTACGGCCTGCTGCACCTGGGGGCGTTCTTCCTGCCGACGGCTGGGGGCCCCGCGTAAAGGCGAGGGGGGCCGCAGTCGCATTGATCGTGGCACTGAAAGACGTGTCACCGCCTTTGCTCACGTCCGCAGTGTGTCCCTTGGCGCTTGGCTTCTTCACCCGCACATGGGGGGGCGCAATGGCCACAGGCGGTCCGCGCAGGCAGGAATTTATCCCGGCGTGCCAGCGCAAGAGGCCGTGCGCTGCGGTGCCGCATTCTTGCCAGCGGCTCCGAGTGCGACATTTTGGAACGAAAAAGGACATGTTGGGGGGGAATGGCACAAGGGCACGTGTGAGCCCCCCGGTTGTATTATTGTATTTTATTTTACGTTGCTTCACCTTTAGACATGACCGTTAGCGGTATTGCATTTGCTGGATTCTTTGCTGTGCCTAAGGTCTGAGTGTGTGCACCTGGGTGTCCACTTGCAAATCTGGATGATATAGGCAGGGGTCAGGCTTTCTGGGACTGTGTTTGGATGTTGTGTCAGTCAGTCAGCGGCTTTCTACTTTGTCAGTTGTAGTCTAGTGTTCGGGCGGCCAATTTGCATGATGGGACAAATACTACAGCTTTATTAGTGACAACGTTTTGAAGAACATTCATCGTGGAAATGGGTCTGCGTTGAAAACACAGGATCAGAATCTGAACAATGAGGCCTGATTGACCTGTGTAACCAAAATCCCGAACCCTTGTCTGTGCAGAAACCTCGTCCTGTTCAACATACCATTAGTCACTTAGTCCTGGTATGTCAGGACAGGATTGTGACTAACCTGGGAATATAAGGTGTTGTGTCGCACTTACCAGGCTGTGTTCATAAGGCGGTTTTGACATCATGTCAGACCACCTGGAGTGCGCACGGGACAAAAGTCGTCGAGTTTGCCCTTCACGCGCTTGGTTCAATCGGTAGAGAGCTGCAAAGTATTTCTTCAATCGATGCTTGCGATTTTGCATCGATCGACTGGTCACTAAGACATTTCGGAGCACAACCCTCACACAGAAAGCAGTGATTTGGGCAGCCAATCTGACACTGGATGCCACAGCGAAGATCACCGCTCGATCCACGATGAGAAACTGGCAGAAAGACTCGCTGGGAGGATGGACATGCAGAACTCTCGCAGAAGCCCAGTCGCAATCAGTCGCCACGTACAACGACTCGCTGCACGACTGCAGCTAGGCAAAACGACCGACCTCAACCCTTTGGGAGGATCCCTTGGGCCTTTTGCTCAGAGAAACTTGCAGCCAAAGAGTCGTTACAGCTGTTCAGCCCCACCTCTTGGTCCGCACACCAGCACCCGTGCATTCCCACCAACCTCAGTTGAGGCGGCTCCCAAAATAGCCACCGTGCTTCAAATAGCAAATGTATCCCATAGCGGACCTCGTTGAAACATCTGTCAGATCATTCCATGTCACTTGAAATCTTCCAAACATCTACCACACATGTCTCCAGTCTATCACCAATACACTCTTGTAATGTATTACTTTCCATATTTGTAAATCATCACCTAACAATTCTTCATAGCCAGCACCATTACTGACTGATTGTTCACAATGCTCATAAACACTTGTTGTCCCTTATATCATCCTTATC